ATCTGGGAGGTTGCCGCGCAAGATGAGAAGAAGTAATGCAAAGCGTGCTGCTACGCTAGCCACAATTTCCTGACTATTTTCAGGTTCCTTCATAACTCACGAACCATCATAAAACCTATAGCAGGAATAGACTCCTTCTTACCATAGACCACTACGCCTTGAAAAGCCGGGCTCTAACAGTCCAGATGCCCACCATATGATAGAATACTTGAGATCATTGGCCGGGTTTGGGAGACCCCATGTTCTGTATCCAAACTAAGTCGAAGGCTGCTCGATAGCTTTCTGGAGTATGTATTTGTAGCAACTACCAGGGAAGTTCCCGTTGAAATTCTGAGGCCACCTTTTGCCCGGCCACTGCTTCCAGACCCAGAATGCCGGCGCAAGCGTGCTGGCGGCTGAAGGGATGAGGAGGAGGCTGCTCTTCCGGGGTTCCCCGAGATGGTTTAGTAAGCAACCCATGGAGTCGGTTCGTAGTGTGATGCGGCTCTTTGCAGCTTTGATTGAGCCAAACTTCGATATGGGTCATTTTCAGGGTTGAACGCCCAAGATAGCTTGCAGCAAAAGAGTTAAGGTTTTCCCTGCTGTGATTAGGCAGACCTCGGGTTGAAACGTCTGCTAATTGAGCAACAGGCTCACAGCAACATGCGCCCATGCCACTGTAAGCACCTGAACTTCCTGTCTAGGACTTGACTAGGTCTGCTTTCTTCAAGGCTGCACAGGAGCGAAATGTACAGAGACGTTTTGCATGTCTAGCTACGTGCATAGGCTGCATAGGGCATACTGTGCCATGTGCGCTTCCTGATTCAACGTGCCATCGCACGGTGATGCTGAGCTTTATCTTCAGCTACACTCAACAAAACATTGCGCTGAGTGTGTTTGTCCGTTGCGCAACGTCGCTCAGCTTTAGTCATAAACTGTCCCAGCCGAAAGGTCTGTTTCTGAGCCAGGAACTTGTGCCTGAGGCCTTGCAAGCATCCTTACACCTCAGAACTCGTAGTAAGAGCTTCTTACAGTAAGCCTCAGCATGTTCTCAAGAACACCTTACACTTTAGCAGCGCTCGACCGTACCTTTTCGACCCCAAATTCCCAAAGCCATTGACAGTGCCATTTTCAGACGACCGCCGCATCTACGAGCGCAATGCCCGCGACACACACAACTGGTTGGCCTGGGGCGAGAATACGAGTCCAAGGCCGAAAAGGTCTGAAGCTTCCGCTACTACATGAGGACCTCAGGTTGGGAGTCTTAGTGTAATCCCAAACGAGGTGTGCTTGATAGCGCTTAACATCTATGAGGGCCTTAGACGACTGTCGTCAAGACGGGGGTTATAGAGGAGGTTTCATGACAGCTTGGAAGGCTAAATCTGGGCCAAAGGACACTTACCATCCTACAGTCGGCCTATGTACACCCATGATGAATATACCCCCTCTTTTTCAGGGCCTAAATATTAGGATCCCTATTCTAATCCCTATTAAGGGGAGGTGTGTTTTAATCAGGGGTCTAGGGCCCACGTTAAGCAAAAGGACGTTATGTTTTTGCCGTTAAGGCTTGTACCCTTAGGCGGTGGGTTTAGGATATACCTTTTTTTGAGGTCCATGTAGCTGTGATCTGCATGTTTTCTAGAGCTTCTGTTCAGGGTCTGGGCTACAACCTCAGCATCCCTTGACACTCCTCGCAGCCTGTACAACCTCATGTTTGACACCCAGCATGTTGTAGACACCTTTAAGCTGCGAGCTGCTTGCCCGAAGGACTTGGTTTAGTTCAACGCGGCAAGCCATGTCGTAAACTAGAGCAAAGCGACTAACATCTGTACCCTTCTAGATCACTAGATTTTCAGCTTGAAGTTCACTGATGCGAGGGTACTCTTCAGCGTTGAAGTTCTTATGCTCAAGCTAGGTCCGTGCCATTAAGGGACGTATCCTGCTTTAAGAGATTAGGGCTTCAGGGATGCGAATGGCACTCAGCGTACGATTTCAAGCATTGCCGCGGGATCCCAACAAGGAAGCCAATAGATCAACGCATCCTTCACATGGACTTATTTGCATACAGGAAATGAAAAGCTTGCAGCAGGTACCATGATCAGCCTACTTGCAGTACAGCTGTGCCTTTTGATGCCTCCCTGAATGGAAGGTGCCATCGCCTGGTGCTGGGACGTGCGATGAGGAGCGCAGGTCCTTGCTATTTTGCGCTTTGAAGCCCCGAGCTGCTTGGAGTCTTGCGGGCTGGGCCTTGATGCCTATGAAGCTTTGAAGTTCTTCAGGGCTTGATAGATCAAAGTTGAATCCAATCAGAAAAGACTGTAAAAGTTGGCGAAGGACCCGTAGGTTTTGCGGCTTCATTGTTGGTCATCTATAGCTTCGATAAGGGTCCCTTAAACAATTGCGCAGATTGGGCCTAACGTTTCACTGGTCAGGAGCTGCTGCGCATAGCTCAGATCCACAGCTGGAACGCGCAACGTGCAAGGCCAGGATCTGCGCTGCAGGTCTAGTCGGCCTTGGCTTTGGGACAGGGGCATGCTGAGAAAGTGCCTTTGGTTGAATGGCCGCTCAGTAGTTCTGAGCATTGTGTGCCTATGAAGGATGGCCTTCACGAACCCTACAGAATCTTGCCTGAGAGCATTGAATTTCGTAAGATTGTGATTGAAGCGGATGTTTGCGGATCTACAGGATATCTGGAAGCAGAGCGTCGCATCATGGCAAGCCTCCGGTTTCCAAGCCTGTCATTGGCTGAGAATGGACATGAACCGAGGTAGAAAGGTCTTACAGGGATGGCAGCTTGTATACGTTTTTGGCACCTTCCGTTATTTAGACCTTGACGCCAAAGCTCGAGACTTGCACCCCTGGGAGAAGCATGCACTGATCTTTGCTTTCAACTCACTCTTGTTGATCTATAGTCTATGGCTCCCCATTGTTCGGAACGAGGGAATAGAGCCCTTCACGCCTGCCCAGATCACCAAAAGTATCCCACCGGCCAAACGCCGCACATTGCGAAGGGCGTGGCAGACGCGCCAGCTTCACTTGTGTCCGGGGAAGGCCTGCAACCTCGTGGGGCCACCCGTGCGGTCGTGATAGAATTAGAGTCATTAGAGGCGCTATCAGGATATCGTCTATAAGATCAGAGGCTGTATAGTTTTAATGAGCAAATTTTGACCACTAGCCATTGGACGGATCGACATTTTCAGAGTTTGCAACTGTTGCAACACAACTTGCTACCTCCCTCATCCGTCCTCCCTCTGGCAGATTCCTTTTGCTGGCAGCGCCGCAGCAGTTATCGCTGGTTCCATAGTTGTGGGGAACAGTTCAGGGCACTTTTCTAGGCTTCGATCTGAGTCTATCTTTGCCGAGGGGTTTTGTTCTCTGGGCTGGTTTCTCAGGGATGTGGGACTGACTTCCTATGCGTTTTTTTGCTATTTGCAGGGGAACAGGATGATGTCCGGATGTGGGGCCATCTAAGCCTTGGCAGGGAGTGCAAGGTTAGGTGGCATCCCTCGCGGTGAAGTCCTCCGGGTGATGTTCAAGAAATGAAGGCTCAGTGTTTTGACTGTTCTTTACTAAGTGCTCCTACGGCAGGGACAACTTGGGAGGTCGGACAAGGGCATCCCTCGTCTGAGAAGTTGCCATACCAAGCTCGATGTCCAAAACGCCGTCCCTCCTTTGGTTGCTGAGCAAGGAACCTGAAACAAAGAAAGCCCGGCCATTTTTTCCTACGCGGCTGAATTGGCGTGGAGGTTTTGTGGTTGGTATCCGGGCAAGGCGAGATGGAAGCTTCAACTGAGCAGCATTCGTGAATGTAGCCTCTAGCCGCAGCGGAGTTTCTTAATCATAGCTTATTGATTCCTATCGCGAACTTGCGCACTCAATTTTGTCTACCATCATTGGCGTTGGTTGGGTACCCTGCCTTTCCAGAACTGTCACGCCAACCGACCCTTTCTGTGTTTTACTTGCCTTGGCTCGACCCGTTGTCGTGTGCGTCAGTGCCAGTAAGTAGACCACGGCTACATTCGAGCGCTGCAGGGAATTCGGTGCCAAGCGCAAGCACAGAGGAAATGTGCATTTCTGAAATGTACAACAGAACTGAAGGGCGGTTGAGCTTTCATTGCCGTGGTGTCTACTCCGTCCCGCGGAGGGCAAATTGGATCTGGCTTTTGATGGCCGGTTTTGCCGGCGGTTGGCACGCGCTCTCAATGTTGATGGTAGGGCCATTGGCCGGCGCCTCCACGCAGAGGCTTCGGAGGACAGACACAACGTAGTGCAAATACCGCGTTGATTTCATTCAGCAGCTAGTAAGCGCTAGTCAGCCACTTGCGAAAGAGTAGAGCCACTCAGACATGCCGGGTCCCCATGTTAATTTGCCCTGGCAGTGCAGGACAACACCCAAGGCATCATTGGTCGGCGCAACTGAGGCTGATGCGAGCACCTTGGTTCCTGATAGCTCCTAAACTCCCTAAACAAGTCCCTTTCTTTTGTTGCATTCATCGCAGAATGAAAGCGCAAATCAGCCAGGCAGGGACGATGCCTTCCTTGCCCGCGTGCGGGGCCTGGCGCGCGAAGCTTTGACCTGGCCGCACCTCACTGAGCAGAAGATGCTTGGGTAAGAGTTGGGCACTTGTCAACGCTAGATGTCGTTTGGGTGTGGGCCTTGAGTGCGCTCTCTGAAGAACATGCCCTTATCTTTTTGCAAGCGTTCTGCGGAAACGAAAGCTAGCGGCAGCGTCAAGGACTGTGACTGTATGTCTGTATGCGTCTATAGGTAATAAGTGGCTTTGGGTTGGATTTCTTGAGATCTTTGCAATGTTGCTCAAAAGTTGGAGGCATCTTCTAATCCGCAGACCATTTGCCAGGCAAGTTAACACATTATTGCTTGCCAATTCTCAAAGCACAGCGGACTTCATCGACGTGTTTTCTTGTTCGTGGTATGGAAACCTGGCAGTGCTCAAGCACATCAGAAAAGTTGCAATGACCTCCCAAACGATGGAAAAGCCTCGGAGCCATTCAGGAGGCTGATGTGGGCTTCGGTACTCAAGACCGGTACAGTGCCGCTTCAGGAGCCATCAGAACCTTCATGGTTGCAAAGAATAGTATTTTCAGACCCCCTTCCCAAAGTCCAGCTACATGACCATGAGCTAGCTTTCGCATAGCATGTTTGAGATCCAGGAGCTGCCGCCATGGTTCTTGGAGCGGCAGAACCTTTCGCGACGCGAAATGGGCAAGAGCCTGAGACAACAGCTGTTAATTTGATAGTCGAGGACCCAGCCGTAGCTATTCCGGAGTTCAGCTCTCCTTGTAAGTTATGTACGGATTTCCAGGCTTTTGACAAGCTCCTTTGGGGAGTTGTTCGGGATGCTATGATACCTGAGTTCTATTGCAAGCCAATGCCACCGCTTCTGTTTGGAGGCATAGATCTCGTCAGCATCGATGGGGCGGCGGTTGTGCTATGTCGCTCTGGGGGTGACAACTCCAGAGTACTGCACCGCGACATCAAGCGCTTCTTGCGCACTGCCCGTTGGGTCTGCAAGGCAGAAAGTCCAGAATGCCAAGGGCAAGCATCATGTGCTTTTCCCCTGCTTTGCCCACTCCCGTTTCATCCTGCAGGTAACCTGTTGTGGTTCCAAAAGTCGCTGTAAGCCGTGGGTTCCATCCATAAACAAAAAACTGCTGCTTTCCTTCAGGCTAAGCACTACTTGCTGCTCACACGCAGGGGCACCAAGCTGCCAGAGCAGTCGAAACGGTGGCTCAACAAGTTCGGTGCAAAGCACAGAACCATCAGCAGGGCAGAAATCCAACGCCTGGTTGCCAACTTCGCTCGAGAATCGACCGGAAGGTCCGAAAGCCACGTGGGCTCTTTGCCTCTGAGGCTGTGCCAACAGGCCTGACATTGAATTGATGATCCCTGCGTGCCATGCTGTACATGTTCGATAGATTGGGACTGTAATTAGAGAGTAATTCGGGGTATCAAGTATCAGCCCCAACAAGGCCTGCCTGGAAGCGTGCACGAACGGGGCCCGGGTGATCCAGATGGCTTGTGGCACAGGCAAGACACGTGTCATGCAGGAGCTGGTTCAGAACGTGTCGGGCAAGGCTGCCCGGCATGACTGATTGCCTCCGTTTTTTTGACCCTGGGATTAGTCATTATAAGCATTTATGTGCTTATTCCTGTTAATGTTGGACCTCCTTTCATTTCTGGCCCCCCCCGTCCTAGGCAATTGGGGCGGCAGAAAATCAAGAATTGGTGTTCTGAAACAGGTGTAGCCTTGTATTTGGGATTTGGCAGAATTAGGGATGATGCGCTCAGTCAAGATACAGATATTCTTTGGAGTCAGGCGGTGTACGTTGCTGCCCATGTGATGACTCAAGTGCCTTCCCTTGGACAGGTGTTGATCATTGTTCCAACACGGCTATTGCTAGAGCAGTTTGCGCCGGAGTTTCCGACTTTCTGCAAGGTCGGGATGGGATACAATCACAAAATCAGGAAGCAAGCTCTTGGCTTCATTGCAGTCTCCAATTCTGTGCATTTGCTCCAGCACCTGAAATTTGATGCCATTTTTGTCGATGAAGCTCATCACTCTCTACCCCAAGGCATGCCACCGGGAAAAGAGGTTTTCTTCTTTTCCGCGACACAGCGCCGTACTATTGACTTTGAGTACAGCATGGGCCAGGCGATCGAAGATGATGTGTTGTGCGACTATGACCTGACTGTTCCAGTGGTTGACGAGGGCCATGCCTACGGATGTCTGGCGAGCTTGCTGTTGAGTAGCCATGGCCGCTTCAGGAGAGTTCTGGCATATTGCAACACTGTCAAAGAAGCAAAGCGCACGCAGCAGGTCTTTGCAACACGCGGTATTTGTGCCTGGCACATCAACAGTGATACAAGGCCACGCCAAAGGCAAGCAGTGATAAACGAGTTTTGTGGAAGCCTGCAGGGTCCTGTACACGTTCTCGTAACAGTTCAAGTCCTGGGAGAAGGTGTTAACATACCAAATGCTGACACATGCATGTTTGTCGAGCCGCGCAACAGCTATAGCGTCATTGTTCAGGCAATTGGTCGAGTTTTGCGGCATCATGCCTCCAAACCCACATCTCACATAATATTTCCCCAGCAGTTGTTTCTTCTCCATCAGCGTCTGTGGCTTCGGCCAATGCCGACAACACTGGACAGCCCTTCCCAGCACGTGCTGGCAGTGATGTTGGTGCTCGCAGGCACATGGCATCCCCTGTAGAAGCATCGCAGGCCATTCCAGCAGAAAGGCGCGGAGGATCTGCAGCTCTTGCCCAACTTTCATGTGTCAGCTCTGGCCGGAGTTTGGCCCACGACATCTCCTGCCAGAAGCAACATCACCGCTTGTCAGAGCAATCGGGGCTGGCTGCACACATGCCCAGTGTCGTGAGCATGGAAGGCATGGAATCATCCAAACCTTCATTATGTGCCCAGGTGAGCTTGGAAACTCGACACCAGCCATTCCAACAAAGTCAAACATCTAGGGGCACAAGTTACAGTACACGTAGCCTGGGGCTTCGAACCACCTCCGCAACTGGCACGGCGAAGCTGCGTGGAGCTTTTTCGTTCACGGAAGCAAGTAAAGAATGCGAAAGCTCGAGTCCACCGGTCTCTGTGCGGAGAGCCCAGCCGTCCTGGCAAAATTCTCCGGAAGCAGCAGTTGACAAACAAACGCTCCAGGTCATGAGGCCAGTGCCTTCGTGCGCCGTTTGTGCAGCAACCTGCTCACAGCATAAAAGCAGGGAAGGTAGGCTGACAAAATCGCTTGTTCCAAAGGTGGTTCTGCGTTGCGAAGCAGATATGGAGGATAAGACAGCAAAGGGCTTTAGAGTGCAAAGTGCCCCTCATGGACACGCTGACGGTGATGAAGTGCTCGCTGTTTCCCGTGCTGGGCCCTTTCGACAAAGCGCGGACAGACCAACGCAGATGCTCAGACAGCGCACCTCGATTGGAGGCAAGAGCAGTCCCACGGCACCGATTGGCGTCGTGTGGACGGCTCGGAGTACTGCTTCACAGCTTGCGCGTTTTTTGTGTGTCCTTGCTTCCGCTGACAGCCGTGTGGCGAAATCTTCCATTCACGCCATGCAATCCCGACTGTCCTTCTCGGATTGCAGATCTCATGATGGTCTGCGAATCAACGTGCTTTCGCAAGAATTGTTGCCGCAGCTCCTGGAAGAGCTACGGAGAAACAGCCCGTGGGAAACACGTGTGCGACAGTTGGAAGAGTTTGCAGCAAGGCATGGCCGGCTTCCAAATTTACATGCCGACAAGCAGGAGAGACTCTTGTATTTCTGGCTGAAAAACACCGGGTGTGAGATCAAGCGGGGCGGGATGGCAGCAATGCAAAGGCACAATCGGCTGCTTGCGTCATCGGTGTTGCTGTTGCGGAACCGGGCTTTGAAGTGGCAGAATCCCGATACTCACTTCCAGAGGCAATGCGCCAGACTCAGGGACTACATGTCGAAGTTCAACATGTTGCCCAAGAAAACCGCGATGCGGACAGATGAGAGTTCACGCCTGGCTTCATTCTTGAAAACTCAGAGGACAAATGTGCACAGCCATGCCTATAGCAAAAGCACACGAGAGGTCCGAATGGAGATTCTGTCCGCACTTCACCCACTAGTTGAGCAGTACATATCTGCCCCAGTTGCTCGACGTGCGAAGCCTTCGATATGGAAGCGATGTTTGGACCTCCAAAGGTTTGTTCGCCAGGCCGGATGCCTGCCGGGCCATCAAAGCAGTTGCAAGGAGGAGAGAAGTCTGTATTACTGGATGGCAAGGCAAAAGCGTCGGCTTCTTGAGCTTTCGGCAGAACAGCGCTCTCAGCTTTTTGATCTGCATCCGCTCGTAGCTGATTTCTGTCGGGGCACTCTACAAAGCTGCAACTGACTGGAATCGGCTTGCAGCCTGTGCAGTTGCCACCCTCAGGCTCCCGCTCCTTGTGTAGTCCTGGTGTTATAGCGGCTTGCGCCTTGTAGCTGACCGCCGTGTCACTTCATGAGCCCAGGAAGCGCTGCCATTACCAAAGCACTTATGTCAGAATGTGCTCTGTAGAGTTTTGCGTTTGGATCGGATTATTGCGCGATAGATTGGAATCAGTCTTTCCGGACAAAACTCGGAGTTATCCATCATGAATCCCAGAGCCACTTCCTTTTATGGGTGCAAGCAATACAACCGCCGTAGGTTCAGTTAGTGGCGCTTGCACAAGTTGCACGGGCTTTTTATTGCAGGAGCCTGCACTCTCGTGATCACAGCTCTGGAGCCCCTGATGTCATGCTGAGCCTCCCGCAGACAAGCCCATTCCTTTCTGTTCATGGTTAGAAGCGCGGGTCCTTGTCCTTCACATGTACAGTACCTTCAGGCACCATGATTCTTCATTGATGGCGATTGCCACAGAGCCTGCAGGAGATCGTGCTGAAGCTCCGAGCGACCCCTATGTCATGTGAGGCGCCGCTTATCGTTTGGGAGTTGGCGTTGGGTCGGCGTGGGATTGTTTGTATTTGTTTGGTTTTCAGTCAGGCACCTCAATAATGCACACAAGGATGAGTAAAGGTTCCAAGGTCGGTAATGAAGGGCATGTGGGCTCTTCAGTGCCGAAGTTCTTGCTCTCAAGTTGGGACCTCAAGAGATTAGTACCTCGCGGATGCGCGTGGTAACTTCCAGGTTGCATGTAATTAGTCAAAAACATTAGCATTGCCGCATGGTCCGATAAGAAGGCCCAATCCAGAGCGCGTCTTTCTCTCAGACTTGTTGTGCCTTTCGTTGGCACATGTGTGGTTTTTGAAGAAACCAACATGTACAATGGCACCCAACTTGAAGTAGGACTTTGCCTTTTCATTCTTCCCCGCCGACATGGGAAGGTGCCATCGGGGGGTTTTGGGACAAGCGATGCTGAGAGCAGGTCCTGGCTAATATGCGCTTTGAGTGGCTGTAGGCGTTAAGCCGCTTGAAGCACTGTGCTGCTTGGAGTGTTGTGGGCCGGTCCCGGATGCCCATGAAATAGAAAGATGCATTCAATGCATGGGGGATGAACAGGCTTCAGTGTTGATAGGGCACAGGATCACTAAGATGGAATGTAAGAATCCAATCAATACAGAGAAACTTGGGAGACTGCACAGGCAATGAAAGTTGCTTAGTTTTGGAGATTCAGGATGTGGTGTTTGGTAATAGAGCTTCAGTGTTGCTGGTCAGCCAGCACATTCAGATAACATGGATGCGAACATACATATATATATATATATGCACCATATATATATATATCTGTACATATATATATATATAGATTATATCATATGTCTCCGAGAACTTCAGGCAAGCCTTGGGAGTCCTAAGGGTTTTCATTATATGTTCCTATGGTCTATAGATTCTATAATAGGCGACGTGGCTCCTTGGCGAGGTGCTGCTGAGAATATAGCTCAGAGTTCCAGATCTCGAACGCGAAAAGCGTGGGCAAAGGCGAGCGCGCAAACTCTGGTCTGTTTTGTTCGGGGAAAGGTTCAAAGTGAAGTGGCTTCAGCTTCCGGAAAGGGTCAGGAACTCTCTGTATGGTAGTTCCAGAGAATGTACCCGGATTGTCTTTGCAGCCTTCTTTGATGATCTTTCTGCATCCATACAGAAAGGCTTCCCCGTGAACAGTGAAGTTTCTCAGGTGAAGTCTGGTCAACAAAGATTTCTTGACCGATAGCTGAAGAACTGCCGCATCATGGCAGGACCCTGCGGTAGCCGAGCTGGTGGGCCAAGATAGAGCCGAGGGAAGTTCTAGAAGGTGCCCGACGCTGAGCATTCTGAACGTGGTCAGAGTTGTACTGACAGTAATTCTGAGGTCGTACCCCCAAATGATTTCCCTAGCGTTGCCCCAAAATGACGCTCTGTTGAACTTATTGGCCCCTCCAGCCTCTCGGATTCTCTGACGGGATACGTGAGCACCAGCTGGCCCAAACACCCTCGACTGGAAGTGCCCAGAAGCCCGTGTCGGTATTAACTCCATGGGCTGCAGGGTCGAGGGAGATGTAAGGTTGGGGCCGTGCATTTTCAGACCTCAACGAAACTAAAATGCATACATTCTCACCTCTCATTCCGCGATAACCTTTTTGCAGTCTCCTAAAGTTGGGGGTAAGTGGGGACACCTAAAACCTGAGCATGATATGGGACCCCCCCATACCTTCCCAGATTGTCAAACAAGTGGGCTCCTTGTGAACATGCCAAATGCGTAAGGACTTGGTTTAACTTACGGCACAGGGAGGCCCGCAAGTTTGTAGCGCAACTCATGTGGTCCTGATAGAATTAAGTAGCCGCTATAGGGAGGCTGTGTGATTCTGATGCCGCCAAAAGCTTTGAGCACAGGCCATTGGTTGGATACACGTTTTCCGTGTTTGTGCCGGTTGCTCCGCCCTTTGCCACCTGCCCGCCATGTTTCTCCTCCAGGGTCATGCTGTTTGAAGCGCCCTGGCATGGTCCATAGTGCATTGAAGCGGCTCTGCTGGCCAAAATCCTTCGTGCACCATGGTGGCATTTGATGGGAAGACACACCAAGCTTGGCAAGCAGGAGGCATTAGCTGGGCCTGGGCTGCTGGTATGGAAAGGCGACACCTGAGCTCCAATTTGTTGCTCACATTTTTTCAATCGGCCTTCCTTTCCTGCATTGGGCCACAAGTGTTTTAGCCCAAGACGCTTTTGTATTGACAAAGGTGGCGCACCTTATCGCAACCCAGCATGCTGAATTACACACTTCTTTGGTTGTAGGAGCTACGTATATATATATATATACGTACGCACATATATATATATATTATAGAGAGAGGGAGAGAGTACACATGCATCATGAGCATAGGGATGTATCCGACATGGAATCCGTAAGAGTTTGCCCATCCTGTCCTTCGTTTAAGCAACTTATAAAGCTCAGCCCCTAAGTTCAAGAAGCTCGTAACCGAAGACTTTTCATAGACTCGTGGGTTTTTTTCTGGCCTCACCGTTTCCAGACAAACCTTTTCAGGTGTCTCTCAGGGGCCATTGGCAATATGGATTCTATGACTTCCTCAGGGGATTTTCTTGCTTGTTGGTGCTCCGCGGAAATGAGGACACGGCTTCCATGTACCTTGCTCAGCGCACTGGGTTGGACCATGCTTCATTCATCTTGGAAATCGCTTGGGCTGTGTAGGTGTTGAGGGAAAGGTAAGTTTAGTGGGATGTCCTGCAGTGACGTTGGCAGCCTGAGGGCGAACCCTTGGCTCCTCAGCAGTAGCACATTTGCTTTGCGAGTGGCCCTGGCAAAAGGCTCCAAACATTTTGGGTCTTGGATCGCTGGTCGTCTTGCTCGCTAGATGTTGAGAGTTTGCGATCCACAGCGGAGAGCCGAAAGCATCGTCTCTTCAAACACCCAAGTAATCATTACTCGGAGGGTCCTGCCATGTCCTGCCCCCAGGAGCGCGAAAATCATGTCTTCGGAAGATTCTCTGTTTCTGGGTGAGATTTAGGATACCCCGGTCAGGGCAAAGCGCAAAGAACAGCTGTTGCGCCGTGGGCTCCATTCAGCTGTATAGGCAGTAGCGTCATGGGCGCGCTGCACGGAATTTGGTGTCAAGCGCAAGCAACCTGTGAGCCTGGCCCGCAACATGCACCCCAAAGCTGCAGCGCGATCAAGCCTTCATCGTGGTTGTGGCGTCTACAGGCATAGGGCAGCCTGGGTCTGGCTTTCGATGGTCAGTTTTGCATGTGGCTGGGGTGGGCTTTCGATGGTGGGGCCATCGGCTGGCTCCAGGCGGAGGCTTCAGAGGACAGACCAGCATAAGATCTCGCAACATGCTGACCTGTTGGAGAGGCCAGTGACAAAGGGTTTGCACCATGCCGACTGGCAGTAGCTCTTGCTTGTGCAACGCGTGAAGGACATTACTGTGGGCGTCTGCATTGGAGGCGACAACCAAGACGGATATGAGCACCTTGCTCTGCGATTGAGACTTTGCGTTTTTGTCTCGGATTTCCTTTTGTTTGTTGTAGACTGTGAGTTCATTTCAGCGCAGGCAGAGACAAAACCTTCCTTGCGCGCGTGCGCGGGCTCGCGTGCGAAGCTCTGACGTGGCCGCAACTTACGGAGCAGAAGATTCTCGGATGAGATGTGGACACTTGCCAATCGGCTTTCAAAATGTGGGGTGTTTCTAAATGCTGGTGCCAAGCTTCCCCCTTGCCGCTTTCCTCCACAACCTTGGGTCATACCATAACTTCTCACGTAAGGTCTAATGCCAAGGCCCGTTGGCTTACGCTGCCCTGCAAGGGGATTCAAGAATGAGGCTATTTACTCCTTGCCCGTGCATTTGTGTTTCCCTGTAGTAGTACGGAGACATGTAAGCGCTGCACCCGAGAAGCGGTTGTTGTCAAGATTTGACGTATCCAGGAAGCTGATGTGGGCCGCGGCGCTGAAGACTGGCACAGTTCCACTTCAGGAGCCAGGGCAAAACAACCAAGATGCGTCAGAATACCAGTTTTGCTTGCGATGAGGTGCCCGAGGAAGTTTAATCGTGAGGAAGAAGTTCTGAACGCACCTGCTCGGTCACCTGGAACTGCAAGATAGGGCCCTGCAACCAAGTCATCATATTGTCGCTGGCGATTTCTATTCACCACCCTGCATACCTTATGCTCTGCGAATAGCAGTACATGGTGATCGCATATGGTGTTAGCTACATTTCCTCATCCACCGTAGCTGTAGCTTTAAGTGACTTAGATGCCCAGGAGCTGCCGCCGTCGTCCCTGGAGCGGCTAGGCCTCTCGCGCCGCGGAATGGGCCTGGCCCTCAGATAACAGCTTGGGAGAGCGCGTCAATTCAGGTTCGTCAATGGTTGAAGAGGGAGTGCGTGTATGGCCCGGTGTACTGTATGGGCTCGCATCAGAAGCACTTTCGTCAGCTTGCCCATAGCCGTGTTGTTTCTGATGGTCGCGCTCCTCAGGTATCGACCTGGTCAGCATCGATGGCGGCACCGCTGTCTTGTGCCGCTGTGGCAGCGAGAATTCCACTGTACTGCACCGCGACATCAGGCGTTTCTTGCGCACGGCCCGTTGGGTTTGCAAGGCACCAAGTCCGCAAACCCATGGGCAAACATTCTTTGCACTAGTCGATCCCTTGTCTTGCCCACTGTGGCTAGTTTCTCCTGTAGATGTACATGAGGGTCATCCAAAAAAACCTACCTTCGTTCTTATATGTCTCCAAACAGGATGATGACGACATGCCCGCAAAAACCCCACGCACGCAAGGCTTGCGAAAATGCACCCCAAGGGTGAAATTGTTCCTAATCAGGCCCTAACTTCAAATAGTCCCAAATAAGGCCCTGATTTGATTTTTTAATAAGGCATAAATTGACATAAATTGAGAATAGTCTGCAATAAGAATTCATGTTGGAATAATCCCTAATAAGGCCCTGATTTGGAATAGTTCCTAATAAGATCCTAATATGAAATAGACCCTAATACGGCCCTAGTTTGAAGTAGTCCCTAATAAGGCCTTAATTGGAATTTAGTCCTGAATAGGGCCCAATTTGACATGGTCCCTAATAAGGCCCTTATTTAAAATAGTCCCTGTAAGGCCCTAAAGTAAAATAATCCCTAATAAGGCACTCATTTGAAATAGTCCCATTTGAAATAGTCCCTAATAAGGCTTTAATCTGAAATGGTCCCTGACAAGGCCCTAATTTGAGTCCTTTTTTATACGATTTTAATCAGATTACATCAGGGGGCCATTACATGCCCCCTATGTTCGGGTCGAACGATAAATACCCCCTGCTCGTACTAAATACGGTTGGGAGCATTTACATTAGGGGGGAAATCTTTTAACATCAAGGGGAAAAGATTCTTTCTTTCTTCCATCGAGGCCAAAGATTGCCTGCTGCTGACAAGAAGGGGCACCAAGCTGCCGAAGCATTCCCAGCGGTGGCTTAAGAAGTACGGCGCCAGGCACCGAACCATTAGCAAGGCGGAAATCAAACGGCTGGTAGCCAACTTCGCGCAAACATCGGTCGACGAAGGCAGTTGGATGTCAGAAAGCCGCTTCAACCTTGTACCTCTGAGGGGCTGTCAGCAGGCCTGATGCTTTGCTGACAGCCAGTGCTAAAGCTAGCTTCTGCGTGGCAATGTGCGTAGACTTGGTTCATCATTTCAGTGCCCTGGCAAGGCCTGCTTGGAAGCTTGCGCCGAGGGCGCCCGGGTGATCCAGATGGCTTGTGGCACAGGAAAGACGCGGGTCATCCAAGAACTGGCGCGGAATGTGTCCGGCAAGGCTGCCAAGCGGCTCAAAAACTAGCACGCGCTGTCTGACTGATTCTCACAGTCCCAACGGTAAAAGCCAGCCAACCCAGCGCATTTCATAGCGGGAAGTGTTACTTGTGGGCTTGAATTTCTGTTGTGCAGTGACTCAACATCAATAAAGTTGTGAATTGCTGATCGAGAGCTGTATTAGAGGGGTGAAGGGATCGATGGAGCGAAGCCACGTTTTGAAGTGGCGAGTTTCCCTTTTGAGAACAGGTGCTGATCATTGTGCCGTCACGCGTTTTGCTGGAGCAGATTTCGCTTGCATTTCCGAAGTTTGGCAAAGTCGGGACGAGTTACAACCGTAAAATCAGCAAGAGAGCTCCAGGCTACGTTGCAGTTTCAGAATCAGTTCATCTTCTTCAGGGCTCAACGTTTGGAGCAATCTTTATTGATGAAGCCCACCATCCTCCGCCACACTGCATGCCAAAAGGAAGGGACGTGTTTGCTTTTTCGGCGACGCACCGCAACGCCACAGATTTTGAGTACAACATGGGGCAGGCCATCCACGAAGGCGTTCTGTGTGACTACGACTTGACTGTGCCAGTGATTACGAAGGGCCATGCTGGTGCAACTTACGCGTGTTTGGCCAGCCTGCTCCTCAGAAACCATGGTCGTTTTAGAAGGGTCCTGGCATATTGCAATACGATAGCGGAAGCCAAGCGCGTGCGGCTGGCATTTGAGAAATGCGGCATTGCTGCATGGCATATCAATGGTCAGACGATGCGCAGCAAGCGGCAATCCGTGATGCAGGAGTTTTCTGGCGCCTTGCAGGCGCCCGTGCACGTTCTCGTCACTGTCCAGGTCCTAGGAGAAGGTGTGAACATACCTCACGCGGACACCTGCATGTTCGTGGAGCCTCGCAACAGTTACACTGTGATTGTCCAAGCAGTTGGCAGAATTTTGCGACAGCACGCCTGCAAGCCACTTGCTCATATCATTCTTCCTGCCATGGCGCTGACTTCAAGAGCGCCTGCGCATCTAAACGTGGCTGGTTTATCTGCGCCTGCTTGTGATGGTGTTGATGGCTTCGCTTCTTTGGACACTGCGGCTACGCTACCAATGTCACTAGCCATCAGCCATAGCTTTCTTGGAGGGTCCGAGGTGGATGCCCAAGCCATTCAGAACCCGTCGACAGGTTTCAAGCGGGGCGGGGCTCGAGCTTCAGACTTTGGATCCGCAACATTGGTGGCAAACACATCCACTACGCCCAGCGTTCAGCAGGCAGCACCTAATCCAATGTTGCAGCTATCGCGTGCCCGGCATGTGGGCTTGAAAGCTGCTCCCCACCATGACATAGCTGAACATGAATCTGGTGGTTACGAGAGCCCATGTTTACATTCTGAGCGAGTGCCCGCGAAGCTGCGGCCAGCTCAAGGTGCGCAACTTCAAAAGGACGAGATCCCGCTATCTGAAGGTGAGAAGCCACATGTGCAACGTCCAAATGCTACGGCAAATGATAATTCTTTGCTTGCTTTGCTGAGTGGAGTTGCCACGCTTGCCACGTCAACACCAGTAGAAAACAAATCCGCGCGCGACAGCACACAAAAGGCGTTGGTCTCAATATCTTCCTGGGCTGCAGCATCACCTGCCCAGGAATGGCAAGTGGAGTTTAAGGCGCCATCGCAAAGCTTGATTGAGAATGGCATGCAAAGGCAGAGCGCGGAAAGAGATGGCATAGAAATCTTTGACATTGGAGATAGGCTCCGGTCAAGCAGTTTATCCAAGGTATTTCCTTCTGCCCCAGACATTGATTCATCGCATGCGTCTCCGCTCCCAAATGATAGAGGCAAGATGACTCGGTTTTTCGGTGCATGGGCAGATGATGCCCATGCATCGCAGCTCGAGAGGTTCCTGTCAGTTCTAGCCCAAGCCGACAGCCGCCTTGTCAATCCTTCTCAGAATGCCTTACAGGCCAGGCTTTGTTTCGTTAAGTGTGGAGCCTTGCAGGATGCGGATTTGGTCGCTGCGATCCCAGGTTGGTTCCAAAAGGTGCTGAACTGCTTGCGGGAGCCTGACCCATGGGAAGCGCGTCTGGCGGAGTTGGAGGACTTCATCAAGCTTCACGGCCGAATGCCTAGCTACTACTACGGTAAGCAGGAAAAGTGCATGTATGTCTGGCTGAAAAACGTAGGATACTACATCAAAAAGAGTGGAATGGCAGCTGCGCAGCGGTTGAGCAGATTGCTTGCATCACCGTCCTTGCTTCTGCGGCAGCGTGCTCTGAAGTGGCAGCATCCTGATCCTGAAAAGGACTTTCGCCGCAAGTGCAGTGAACTGAAGGATTACATTGCCAAGTTCGGTACGTTGCCCTTGCATAGTAGGAAGTCTGACAATGTGTGTGGCAGACGGCTCGCTGGATGGCTCCGAGCTCAGAGAGCAAGCCTCCAGCGCCACGTATACAGCACCAACAGAGAAAAGTTCCGCGCACGCGAGTTAAGAGCAATCCACTTCATGGTGGCAGACTTTTTGGACAGTCCGGCAAGGCCCAGCCCCCCGGTCTCACGGAGACGAAGCATGGAGCTCCAACGATTCGTCACCCAAGCTTGCCGGCTGCCATCTGCCTATAAGGGCAGATTGGAGACAAAGTTATACAATTGGATGACGAAGCAGAAGCATAGGATGTGTGTGCTGTCTGCACAAGATCAGTCGAGGCTGCTGAATTTGCATCCGCTCGTCACATCTTTCTTATCAGGAAAAGTTGATCAACAGTTCTACGTCGCAACCTAAAGCTGAATGGCAAACATTAAGTTAATGTTGAGATTCATGCAGATACATGCTGTCTAGCTCCCTATGTTTGCTGGTGACTTGCGGATACTTGCGGTATCCTAGCCATGATGCTCAGCGGTTTGTTGTGACATTGATCCGCGAACGAAATCAAGCCTACATTCCCAACTCAACGCAAACCTGCAGGCCGAAAGCTCCCCGGACCCTAGAGCTTTGGACGTTTCAGCTGGCAATGCCATCTGGTAGCCTATATAAGCATGAACAGCGTTTCCAATATCTCTCATGTACTTATATTCCAGGAAAATGCATTTGAAAGGAAGCGGTCTGCGGTGGGTGCCAAACTTCTCTCGAATCAGGCCGAGCACTGTCACTCATAGAAAATGTCGGCTTACCTTTGGAAAGGCTGCTCCTTCAAGTAATGCACTGTTCCAACCTCGACGCTTCTGAACAGTTTGAGGCAATGTCAGGCATTCCATATTCGGTGCATGGCATTTCAAGGCCTTTGCCCCGATCCTCACTTCGCGGCTTGGGCTGCAGATGCCTCAGTGACGCTTCAAGGCTTTGCGAGTTGGGACTTGGGCCCTTAAGGGCTTTTGGGCTCATGCTCACGACTCAGAATCAATAATGTGCTCGACGCTCAGGTCAGGCCCACTGGGCTATGCACATGAGATTAAAACAGTTAATTACGACATGTAATTAACGATTGCCATGCAACAGCACCATTAATGATCAACCATCACAAAAAGGATACAACAATGCTGATAGTCATGATTTTGTGGCAGCAAGGTGCCATCAAAGCCGCCATCACCGCCTCGCGCCAGGCAACAGAAAAAATGCCTGATTATCTGGGACAGCAATTTATAGGCGCTTAAAGAACTAGAACAGGGCTTTTGGGCCTACATACTAGGAACTCTGACAATCCACTTACGTCATGGCTTGATGGACAAAATTTCGCATCCCCACAAGTGTACATCCAGCCCAAATTCCCAGGGGCTAGCTGCACAGAGTCATCATGCAAGATGCTACCAAGCAAAGCTAAAAGGTCATGCTGGATAGGCGGCGCAGTTTTTCTAGCAATTTTGCTTTCAGTCCTGAGACTGACAACCTCAACCGGGTGAAAAGATTGTGCTGCTCCAGCCCCTGGTGTCCAAGCTTGATTCGGGTTTGTGGTTTAAGGATTATATCTATATAGGTATATATATATATATGTATATATATATGGTGACCATGAACTATATTGAAGGGTGGACCTCGAGCGGCCAGCACCTACCAGAACCCAAGAAAGGCTCTTGGGCCCGGAGCTTCCTACGCCCCTGGAGGGGCGCCGCGAGCGCGCGCCGCGCCCCCCTCCCAACCCTGTCCTGAACCTGAACTCTAGGCGCCCTTAAGGGCAAGCTCAGTTGCAAAGCTTGGCAGTCCTACCAAGAGTGAAAGCCTGATGACACTGACAGCAGGGATGATCCGTAACAATCTTAATTTCTGGTCTTCATGAAGCTCAGCACATCCCACGAACGGAAATATCAAACATTGGTATTCTTCACAGCTGCAAAAAACATCATGGAAAGCACATATGTTCTGTGCAGGAACATTTAGTTTGAGCATCCATTATCTAAAACAGAGTGAGCGTGCGTTTGATCCGATGCTCACTCGTCTCCTGCCGGGATTCGCCAGGGCCTCGGCATCTGGGCCCTGCCCACATACCAGAATCCTAAAGACACCCCGAAAAACCAGGTATCAGGAGGTGAAAAATATTCTGCACTCTACAGTTATGGGATGCCAAGGCCTTGTTTTGAGGTATTGATGTACGAGGGCACGGCGCTGAAGCATCGTCAGCATGAAGGGCGTCTCAGAAGGATGGAAGTTCTTGCTGCTGCCCACAACAGCACCTCTCCCCCAGTATGAAGACGACTCGTCTTTACCAAGTGTCTGTGAACATCTTTGCGGGTTTGCGGGTCGGGGGGCAGGCGAGTTGAGAAAGGAGGGATGTACAGTCATGTTGCACAGGTTGCTCCTAGGCTAGTCACGATTTCATAAGTGCCTTTAAGGCTTCCTGAAGTTTTTGGCCATCAGAAGCCCTCTAGCAGCAATAAACTAAAGCCATAGACCACTAAGCACTGAAAGGCCGGGCTTTGGCATTTGCTTAAGAGTCCAAATGCCCGCTAGTTGAGTACTTTGGATCATGGCATTGGCATTGAAAGATTAAAGCCTGGCTTGGGGACTTGACAACCTGTCTTAAAAAAACGGCAGGCTGCTTAAAAACATTTCTGGGACAAGTTCTTGTAGCAACTACCACGTGAGTTCGCGTTGAAATCCTGAGACCACGTTCTGCCCGGCCGCTGCTTCTGGACCCAGAAAGCCAACGCAAGCGCGCCTGCGGCTCACGGGACGAGGAGTGGGATGCTCTTCCGGGTTTCACATTGGGTCATTCCTTGTTTGACGCGGGTCTGTGCAGCAATGCAGTTCTTCAGCAAACTTCGATATGGGGCATCGTTAGGGTTGCGGACCCAAACCTTAAAATCTCTTTTACATCTGAGGGTCTAAGGTTTCTTTTGCTGTGATTGGGGAGGCCTAGGAGAGAAACTTCTTGCAAGCACGGAGAACCAGGAGCGGCTGCAGAAGAGTTTTCCGACTTTGTGCACAGCTTCGCGGAAAGTGCCGAGGAGGCGCCATAGCACTTTTCTATTCAGCAGAAGGTAAGTGGGGAAAGACTTTGAGATTTGGCTGCAAGATTATGTGCTCCAGGTCTACCGGGTTTCAGGTCTGGGTTTCTAGGTGTTGAGGCTGCTGGATTTGAGAGAAGTTTCGAGATGAGGAGTCTTTGAGTCTTGGAAGCAGTGTAGAGGAGATCCATGCAATCAGTCTACAAGTCCCACCATAGCCCACACTGCGCCCCTGTAAGCACTTTAAGTTTTGTGTAAAGCTTCGTTTGGGTCTCCGAGGCTGCAAGCCCGGAGCAAACTAGGGATCACAAGGTCTGGTAACAATATGTAACTATAAGGACCTTCGGCATGTAAACATTACAAGCTGCGGTCTCGGAGGTAAGTGGGGCGTAACTGGAGTGGGGGGTCTCACAACCCTTGGAGGAGGCACCCCCCCAATTTTCAATGCAAGATGCATTTAGGGTCCTCTTATTTGAGCAACACGCAAGTGAAAGGCAGCCTGCTGCGGTCGGAGTGTCCGCAAAGTTGCAGCCAACGGACCGCCTGGGCGGGGGATGCCAGTCAGACCTTGGTTCAGGAGAACCGGTTGGCTTTTTCAGGTTTTGGAGCTAGTAAAATATTTTTGCCGCATCTAGAGTCACGATTGATCAAGTGTGGGATTCGCGATTCACCGTGTACAGAAGCTTCTTGCGCTTTGGAAGCTTGGTGTTCAGGTTGTGTACGGCGCGTGGCACTAGGCATGTTGGGTTCAAGGAGCCATCGGGTGGATGGCGTAAGGCGTTGTGGAGGACATTCAGCTGCAATGCTGAAGCTAGAGGTATGGTGGATGGAGGAAATCTTGCACCGCCCCCTCCATTCCCTTCGCGTTGGGGAGCTCAGGTGCAAGATATCCTGCATGCACTGGGCCTAGAGCTTACAGAGAGAGGGCGGGGGCATATGTGTCAATTTGGGTCGCGTAAACCTTCCCACACAGAAGCTAGGATGTTGCCTCTATACTTCTGAAACCCACCAGTAGCAGTCAGTGGCGGTCTTGGGATATGTGGGGAAGCAGAAGTAATCCTTGCCCCTCCCAGGCCCCCTCGTTAACTGTCCTTGATCTTGCCGCTGCTTGGCACTTCCGCAGGACGCCAGGTGGGTCTCCACTGGGCGGAAGATTTGGCGACTTTGCTCAGAATGGGAGCGTGCTGGAGGGGTTGGGGCCAGGGTTTGGAAGCCTGTGCATCGAAAAGATCAAAAAGCCAGATTTTTGGGCTGGTGACGGGATCTTCCCCCAAGTTGAAGCCATGAAGCATCCTTCGAAGCCATCCTTCAAAGCCCAAGTCGAAGCTTTCAAGCACTCCTTGACGTCCCCTTTGCATTCACGATTCTTTTTGATGGACTTATACCCCGTAAGTTGTTTAGCTGGCTTTAGAGGATACTTTTGCCCCCGCCGCTTCAAGAGGTCGTATAATCGAGTAGAATCTTCCAGCCCCTGGTGTTACAACTGCAAAGACCAGGCCACTTAGCAGAAAAAGTTGTGTTTGCTAAGATGCATGCCTTGCAAGATTCTTAGCTTGCTGGCTCCCCCGCAATCGTCCCAACATCTGATGGGTCTTCGGAGCGCTTGCGCAGGCACAATTTGCTAAGACCCCGGAAGTCCTGACGAGCGCAAAAGTCCCCATTAAGTAGATAGAATCTGGCTTTGGGTGTATTATAGTAAGATCCCCCTTATGACCCATATTCTATCTACTTACCAGGGGACGATATGTCTAAGGAGCCACCGCTGGCTCATGAGATGACAGAGGAGTGGGAGGCTCACAGTCAATGCCTACCAGGGCCCTCCTTGTACCCTTACATTGGGGTATACGGTCCCTAACAGTGGGTATCTAGGGTACGTAGAGGGTAGATGAGGTATCTATGGTATATGGAGGGTAGATAGGGGATCTAGGGTATATAGAGGGTAGATGGAGGGTCTAGGTAGAGACTTCGAGACCTGAGGCTCAATTTAAGACGCCCAAAAATGAAAGAAGTGGACCTAACCAGGTTGCAATGGTCTCTACATTGTAGGTGCTCAAAGGTCAAGACGCTCAAGAATTTTCCGCTGTTTGTTAGACGAGAGGAGGGCATCCAATACTGACTCAGCTGATTTGGGCTGTCCAAGGATGAGCCTTATGAGCGGTTGCCGTCCAATGGGGGCGTGGCGTGTTCCTATCGATGCACAACACCCATGCCTCTACTGCAGCCAGACCCACCAGCAGAACCATCTTCTGTTTAACACCTTTCTGCAGGCCACATCAGGCCGCTTGGTGCACATTTGGCCACACTTCTGGATGGGCAGCTCCGCTGCAGAGGGAATTGTGCCAG